ATGAATGAGACCCAACCCAGGGAATCCCTCAGATCAGCCGTTCGAGACCACATCTGAAAATTTGTTTACACATGCCGTCCATGTCAGGAGAGCTGAACGTGAAACTGTTGGCAGCCACTATCTATTAGCTACGTGTAAGTATAAATATCTTATAATAAGCATGAAGAGGATATGAATGAGAAACCCTATTTTCTATCCCTCTCTTCTCCTTCTCTTCTTCTTCTTCTTCTTCTTCTTCTTCTTCTTCTTCTCTTCTACTTTTCTCTTCTCTTACCATTTCAGGAGGGTGAGCTCTCTTGAACCAGCTCGTTGCATTATCATTCAGCTTGAGAGATCGAGTACCTAACAATTTCTCAAAGCTCCTAAACATTTACCACTTTTGTTGTGGACTAACCAATGCATACATAGGTTTTCCAATAGCAAATCTCACAAAATTAAGTTTGATCTGGAGTCTTTGTGGAGGCATGCATTGAATGCATCACATAATTTCTTTGTGTCATGAGGTAGGCACCACTTCAGCATCAATAAGTTGTATACATCTCTGGATTACCTTCCTGACCATAGAAGATGGTGTATATGAACTTTCTTTCTGAAAAAGTTCATTCTTTATTAAAGCAAATACACTAGACCAAACATAGCAGTTTTTTTTTTTTTTGAATAACTGTCAATAGTATTATTATTAATGATAAAGAAAAGTAAAGTGATAATTTGTACACCCCTATGAGGTAGCTAGCCTTGGCTAACTCCCTCAACAGAATATACACTCATTTTACATCACTTCATCCCGGTACATTTATTCCAGACAGTCCCTTGTTTTTCCAAAACATCTTCCAAACTATTGACAGATCAAGATATCCATGTTTCATTTGCTCTCAGCTCCTCTAGCATCTTTTTTCAGAGCAATTCATCAAGCCACAATTCCTTCTTTTCTTTTTTTGGTTGTTTTTTTGCTCATCTTCCCAAAGGTTAAAGTCTTCTGTTTGGAGGTTGCATTACAAATTATCATAACTTTTATGAGATGCTTCAAAAGTGAAGTAAGCATTGGATTGCACCTTAAGTACAGAACTACTTTATCTCTCTCTTTGGGGTACTTACACACTACCATCAAAATGTAAGTGATCTCTTTTTGGTCCTGTTAGTGTTTCGTGGCAATAGAAAAACAAGAATTAATTTGGTACTGCACAAGAATACTGTGAGGTCTATGGGGTGAAAGAGATGTGTAGAGCAAGGAATCTTATTTACATCAGTTTATAGAACTCATCATCATTGTTCACTGGTTATTATCAAGTGGTGAGTTCAAAGGGATTTCCATGGACAAGAATTGTGACAGCAAAGAATTGTGACATGGAGGCCTCTGGAGCAAGGTTGGAAGAAATTCAGCTTTAATGCTTACAGTCTAGGCAACCCAGGAATGTTGGAAATTGGAATGCTTAGAGATGATATAGGAAATATTTTGCTTAGTTTCTTAGGAGTTGTAGGCAATGTTGATTCTTTGAGAAACGAACTTCTAGCTTTACTACAATTGCTGCCTAAGGTTAACAGTAAGGAATGGTTGGATAAACCCACAAGTGGAAGGGCACTGTCAAGTTGTGATTAAATGAAAGACACTAGGGAATAAACACCAAGGTTGCCAAGGTTTCTACTTTTTCTTCAATGAAATCAGAGAAATCACAGACACTATAAGATTCTGTTTTAGATGAGTTCCTAGAGAGCTTAATTGTATAGCCAATGGCTTGGCTAAAGCTGGGGCGGGAAGGGATTACTTGTATAGCAGGAATACTTTACCAATGTAAATTCTGGAGGGCTTCTTTTTTATGTGTTTTTGGTTTTTTGGTTTGTACATCCCCCCTCTTTGTTTTTAATGGAAGTTACCTTTTCTCAAAAAAAAAAGGTGCTAAGGTGTCTGATTAGAGAAGCAATGACCTTGGCCATAAATTTGAACTGCTTGTTCAAAGGGGTTCTAAGAGATTCAAATTCCCTAGAAGAATCATCAGCAAGATAGGAAGTTACAAGGGATAATATTATGGGTATATCTAGGGCTTGGGGATGAGCTGTAAAATCATTACTGTTTTCTGTCATCTAGGTTTTCTTTTTTTATCTTCCAGTTAACGGGGTTGAATAGCTATATGATATTTTCCTTGCACCCTGTTCCCCATGATCTAGGAATCATTCCTAGATGTAGTTGCATAAAAGAACTAAGGCTTGCAGCAACAAACAATCCAAATTCATTCATTAACCCCCAGCAGTTTGATGTTGACAACTATTTATATGCCAACATAATAGTGGGTAGGTTACTCTTATAGATTAAATGAACCAAAATACCCTTGTAATTAAGAATTGAAAAAATGACAAATATATGATTTAGACTAAGTGGGCTACAGCTGGGTGTTTCCTGAGCAAGTTTTGGATTTTCTACGACAGTGGCATGGCAAAGGACTAGGAAGCAGAGGTAAGCTGTACTGGAGTACGGTGACCCATGCAGTGTTGTGGGGTGTTTGGGAAGAAAGAAACAACAGGACCTTTGAAAGCAAAACCAGAAACATCGAAGATCTGATCTTTCATATTACTTTTTTATGCAACATTTGGGCTCTTAATTCTGAAGTTTTTAAAGGTATTTCTTTAAATGATCTTCAGAGAAATTTAGTAGATGTCCTCTATTCCTCTCCTGGGAGTGGTTTAACTCAAAGACTTTGTATTAGGGAGGAGGGACTGATAACTCTAAATTTGATGGGAGTGTTCAAGGATTCACAGGTCAAGCGGGAATTGGAAGAGTAATCCGTGGGAGAGGGGGAACATCTATTGGGCTTTTAGTGGTCCCATTGGGAGAGCTGACGCTACCAAGGCAGAGATCTTAGCTGCTCTCACAGGTCTTCGTTATGTCAAAATGTTAGGCCTATCCTCTCTAACCATTGAAGGTGATTCTGCTAATATGATAAAATGGCTAAGGGAGAAGAACAGAGGGCCTATGAGGCTTTCTCATCTACTGACTGAGGCTAGAGATATTTTGGATTCTCTGAGTGCAAAGCTGGTTTAGATTCCTAGAGAACTAAACTCCATAGCTGACAACCTAGCCAAATCTTGAGCTCATAGGGGGTTTATGTTTACTGATACATCTTTGCCTGTGTAACTCTGTGTCTGCCTCTGTAAGGCTTCTGTACATCTTCTCATGTTACCTGTTCTTTAAATAAAATTCTCAGTTAACTTTTCTCAAAAAAAAAAAAAAGATTTAGACTAACCTCTTACGTAAGAGATTCAAAACCAACGACAAAGAAAGCTCAAAGGTCACCTGGAGAATACTCCATCATAGTTAGGTTCATACAAAAGGGTAAAATCTACCTTTTAGACTAACCTCTTATAATTGCTTATGATCCCCACATTTATGGTAAAAATATTTCTTTGTACTTTATGCCAAAGTGAATAAATTATTTCCCTGTTCTATTGATTATCTTGAGTGATCAAATCATCACTCTTATTTTTTTAATCTCTGTTGTTGTAGACTTTTGGTATTTGAATAACCCAGATCTGAGTGATTCTAGAGCAGTTTGCTAATTTTTCATTACCTACCATCCAGCAGGAGTCAACATGCAAAATTTCTGTGTTGTATCCAGAATCATATTTCCTACCATCAGAGTAGTATAGGCTTCCAGATTCATGCCCTCCACCAGTGATTTAAAAGGCACACCTCGAGCGCCCAAATGAGGTGCATTTTAAGGTTTGCACCTCGTGTAGGCCCCAGAGCAGCCCCTTTGAAAAAAGGTACATGCCTATTGCTGCCTAGTGCACCTGGTGCGCCTTGTGCCTCAGCCCAAGTGTGCACTGTTTTGTTTTTTGATCAATAACAGAACACAATTTTATTAATGAACATTAAAAGGGTACAAGATGACACAATAAACAAGGGAAGAGGTAAACTCCCTTAACCTTCCCCAACGAAATTGTTTATTCAGGATTACAACAGTGCCCAAAACAAGCCATCTCTTTCCACCCTTGCTTAGCAAGTGTATCAGCAAAGGAATTAGTGCTTCTCTTCACCTACTGCAGTTTTATTTCCATACCCTGGGTTAGCGATTTAAACTTCTTTTTTTCATTAGCATAGTACCAAAACCCAGTTTCCTCCTTTTGCAGCCAGCTTATCACCAATTTTGAATCACCTTTAATAATTAACTTTCTAATGTTTAGCTCCTTTGCCTTTTGTACGTCCCCAGGCGTGCACCTTTGTTAAATTTTGTACTTTTCTGTTCTTTTTTAAGTACAGTGGCTGGGCCAGGGGCTCCGCTCCTCCCAGACCCTTGAGGCAAGCTCAAACAAGTCCATGTTAGGGTGTTAAATTCTTTCAAGACCCCTATAGCTACTGACTTAGACATAAGACATAAAGCAGAAAACACTTATCTAAAGCCAAGTCCTTTAAAAGAGATTGGATTGATCACCTTTCTCTGCCCCATTGTATGACCTCTATTGTTGTGATTTGAAACACCCTAAAGGAAAGGAAGCTACTATTGGGTGGATTACTTCTTGGAGTCACTGAGATGACTGACTTTATCAAAGACTCAAAGTTAGGCATAAGAGCTGCTGTTGTTTTATCCTGTCAAATATTAGTTGCAGGTCAGCCTTCTTTGTTTCTTAGAGAAGAAAGGATACTGAGATATTTATTTGACTTGTCTCTTCATCTCAAACGATTCAATCGGGCTAGAGTTTTATTGAATATTTTAGGAAGGTTTTGACTTGAAAATGGATAGAGACTTAAAATTGGCTAATTCTCTTTTGTCTTTTTCTTTTTTTGGTAGGCAACAAAAAATTCATTAATTCATTAAAATAAACCGTATGTACAAGAAAAATACAAAATGTTGAGAGCATAAGAACTATCTCCCCCCTCTTCTGTTCAATCTATTTGTTAATCAAATTTGTACTTTTCTATTAACATTTACTAGCTTTCTGTTAAATGTTTAGTGATTTTATGATTGTAAGCAATTAATTTTTCATTTATTTCCTTCTCATTTTTATAGGACAAGATGGTGGTAAACGAATGGGTCTGAATTTTGATCGAGTGAAGTAAGTTACCATTCTTTTGCAGCCATCTATTCTTTGGGTGTAGATATGCTCCCTATTTTATTTTTGTTTTTTCATTGTTCTGATTGAGATAAGCTATGTTGATCAAGTTGTAGCAGTTCTTTCACAAACAGAAATCATGGAATTATCAAAAGAAAAATGGACAATAATAAGTAAAATGAACTTCTAATCAGAAGTTAAATCATAAAAGATGTTGAAAAACAATTGAATTGAAAAGAAGTTTTTTTTCTTCTTTTTTTGAAGAAAAGGTAAAGTATGATGTATTAACTTGAAGAAAAGGTCCACTGTACAAACGGTATCTGTACAAGTGAATCAAAAGAAGTTTCAAACAACTGTCAGAAGAAGATAATGAGAGAAGTGTAAATATGCAGTTCAAGAAGGTTATAATGTGTTAAGAGATCAACTGGAGGCAGAATTTTAGAAGTAGATGTATTAAGTAACGGGATGGGAACTTTAAATACTTACACAACCTAGCAAATTAAAGAAAAATAGAAAAAAATTATCTCTAAGCTAGTAATGGAGGATGAAGAGTTGACCACTCGAGATCTAGCACTTGTAGCCCCCCTCCCACACACACACACACACACATACTCACTTTTCAGTGGAAGGCCTATCCTGGTTTAGGATTCTAGATAATGTAACCAAGAGTTTAGAGCAATCCTTTGATGTGGAGAAAGAAAAAAGGTGCTTTTGGAATGGGCAAGGTACCCAGCCTAGATGGTTATATCTTATATGATAGGGTTTTATTAATCTCATTGGGAAGTCATAAAGACTTGATAGTTGATAGCTGTTTTTGAGAAAATTTTGTCAGGGACATAATCATTAAGGGTGTTAATATAGCTTTCATCACCCTGATCCCAAAGGAAAAAGGAGGTTCTTCACCCTAGATACTTCAGATCAATTAGTTTGGTAGGAAACTTATCGAAGGTTATACTTGAAGTGCTGGCCTATAGAATTAAAGATTTCATGGGTCATTCAATATTTCCTCAAGAAGGTGTTTTTGTTGACTGGTCTATTTTTTGATATGGTTATGAAGTGGTTTGGGTTTGGGGAAAACTGGAGGAAATGGATGGGGTGCCTTCACTCATCACACTTTCTCTTTGATGGATAACTTTAAAATTTTATTGAAATTGAATAAAAGAAATAGCATTTAAAATATGCCTACCACCCCCTTTCTTGCATCCTTTTTGCATTTAGTAGTCCCCAGAAAAACTGTTCCCTATGTACTTGTTTTGGCGAAAGTGTCAGCCAATCTGTAAGCTGATCTTTGCATCCATGTGAATGTGATATCCCCCCTCCTTTAATATCTACCAATACTGCCAGTGTTGTTGTCCTTGTTATCATAGCCAACCCACTGCTACTCTTGAATCACCCTCCACTTGCATGTTGCTGTAATTTAAGGTTCTTGCCAATCTCAACCTTGCAAGGCTGCACTTGTTTCAGCCTCAATGGAGTTTCCTAAGCCCATAGGACCAAAATACATTGCTTGGATGGTTCTACACTTATCCCTGATAACTCCTCCAATGCTTGAAGGGCCTAGATTATCCAAGCTACACCCATCCTGCTGCCACCTGCTGCCATGAAGATTTGAATAAACTCTCCATATCATCAGGAGGGATTTACCTGCAACCAAAGAGAGAAAAGCCAATCCTAAATACTAGTGACAAATGGACAGGAAATTAGCAAATGATAAGTAGTCTCTCCATTTGTCATGCAAAAAGAGTAAATATGTGGGGATAAGTACCAATAGCATCCCCTTTTTTTGAAGAACATCATAGGTATTTATTTTCATATGATAGACTTCCCATGTGAAAGCTCTAATCTTTGGTGTCACTGGCTAGCACCAAATCTCCTAAAACAGAAAAGACTGAGAAAAGGGCAAAGTTGGGAGGGCTTTAAAAAAAGAAGCAACAGAACATTCCCAAAGACCCAAGTGACAAAATTCTCCCATTAGGGGAGGAAGGATCAAGGGACTATCATTCAAGGAGTTGAATAATTCAAGGACCATTGGAGTTTCAAAATTCCTCGCACCTTTTCTAGTGCCAAGGTCCCAAGACAAAGCACCCATAGCATAGTTAGCAAAGAGAGACATTTATTCTTATAGGTGGTTAAAGAGTATAGAGAAGGAAAACAGTCCTTTAAAAGAAGGCGTTGGAGGACCATAGTGTTGGTCTATCATCTTCCCCACAAGTGCTGCTTTCATGTGAAGACCAAAAAGTTTCAGACGAACAGAATCCCTTGAGGGGAAGCTTTCGTTGGGTTCCAGTTGCCAATTCTAAAGAAGTGGATCAGGATAAAATGGGAGAATATAGGCCAAACCCAAGATATTCAAGGGTTAGGAGAGAGGATTTTGAAGGGGAAGATAACGGGTGGGTAAGCTGCGATTCTTTGGAGGATGACTTTGAAACAGGGTCGAAAGCAGAGAACCACAGTCTAGGGGAGAATGCAGATCATAAAGGGGAGTTGGAAGACACTTTCAGTACAACCATTCTCTTTTCTGAGGAAGCTGAAGATGTTACCTCTGTACTGAAACCCTCCACTGATTGTGGGATGTTAAAGGATGCCGAGCTCTCCTTGGATGCTAGTGGGGAAACCAAACCTTGGGTAGAAAAAAAACCAAGCCAGAAAATGGACAATGGGCAGGGGACCTGTGAGAAGATAGCGACTGATCACCAGTCTTCAAACATGGTTATTTCAGCTGGGGATGAACGACAGAGCCTTGGAAGTTCTCACAAGGGTGAATTAAGTCTAGGTTGTGCCCTGGAAAACCCTATTCTGTTGTGAAATCCAACTGGCTGTTGAATGTCCTCCTTTCTCAGATCCAGATATGTTTGTTTTTTTGGGTTTTGATACTAACTCTTGCTCTGCCCCTGTTGATTGTCTTCCAGATTCCAGACCTGCCTACTTGCCGATTGCCCATGGTTTGGAAATTGACAGAGTTGGTGGTTTAGGGGAGATTCAGGAGGTGAGAGGGAGGAGAGGGTGTGGAACTTAATAATCTGACTAGGGTGGAATTAGAGAAGGAGAAGGTGATTGAGAGTAAGGATAGTGGGTCTAAAGTAGTCGAAGAAGAGATGGTGGAGCAGGAGAGGATGGGTGAGAGGCCTGAAGAAGGCAGAAGAGGAAAGAATGAAAAGGGAGAAGGAAAAGAAGATTCTCTAGCTGAATTTGTAGAAAAGCTAGGTTGCAAGTTAAAAAATCCGAATGAGCTGAAAGTTTATTTGAGGAATAAAAAAGGGGAAAGGAAGATGAGAAAAAGGAAGTTAGAGGTTGAAATTGGATGTGGAGGGGGACAAAGAATTCAGTGAGAGGAAGGGTAGGGGAAGGAAAGGAGGATCTTAGGGAGGAAGGTTAGGGGTGGGGGTAGATTAAGTTGGAATAATGAAGATTGTGAGATGGAATGCGAGAGGCTTGGGGAATGTAAGAAAGAGAGCTTTAATAAAGGAGGTCCTAAGGAAAGAAAACCCAGACTTCTTTCTAATCCAGGAATCTAAACTCATGACCTTTGACAAGAATGGCCTTAGTTGGGTAATGAGCCCTTCTTGGGGTTCATCTGGAGGGTTACTCACTTTGTGGAAGGATGAAGTTGTGAAGGGAGTTGAAGAATTATATGGAGGATTCTCAGTTTCTGTCAAATTCAAGCAAGTGGAAGATGGGTACGAATGGGTCTTAACTAATGTTTATGGCCCTAATAGCTATGTACAAAGGAATGAATTATGGGAAGAACTAGGAGATATTAGAGGTTTGTGGGAACGACCTTGGTGTCTAGGAGGGGATTTCAATGTGATTAGGTTTAGTGAGGAGTGCAATAAGGTGCGAATTGTGCGACAAAGGAATACTACCAATATGAGGAAGTTTAATGAGTTTATTAATGCTTTTGAACTCAAGGAACTGGACCTCTTACATAACAGTTTCACTTGGTCTAATCTCCAAGCTGAACCAATTTGTTCCAAAATGGACAGATTCCTATTTACTACAGATAGGGAAGAACATTAGGGAGACCTGGTATCAAGGGCTTTACCTAGAGTTACTTCTAACCATTGGCCAATTCTGCTAAGTAAGTTTGAGACTGGAACCAGTGGACCCTCCCCTTTCAGATTTGAGAATATGTGGTTGCATCACCCGGGCTTTAAGGAGAAAGTGAAGGAGTGGTGGAATGAAAGCAATCCGAGGATAAATTGGGCAGGAATGGAATTTCATTGGAAGTTAAAAGAGCTGAAAGTCAAAATCAAGGAGTTCTTCACTTTGGGAGGTTAGAAGAAAGTAAGCAGCAATTGATTAACCAAATTGAGGAATTAAATGCAAAGGAAAATCTAGGTTGCTTTGGGGAAAGGGACAAAGAGTTGAGAAAAAATATGGAGGACACTTTTTAAGGAAGAAATTAGTTGGAAGCAAAAATCTAGACACAAATGGGTGAAGGAGGGAGACAGGAACACAAAATTTTTTCCGTGCCATAGCGAATGGCAGAAGGAAGAGGAACTTTATTTCTAAGTTGGTGGTTGATGGTACAACTCTAACCCAACAGAATGAGATTGCAGGGGCTTTATGGAACATTTCAAATCCATTTTCAGAAGGCCCCTAAATAACAGATTACAGATTGAAGGTTTAGATTGGCCTAGGCTCCCTGAAGAGTTGATTGAGTGGTTGGAAAGAATGCTCGAGTTGAGAGAAATAAGGGAAGCCATCTTTTCTATGGATAGAGCTAAAGCTCTAGGTCCTGATGGTTTCACAATGGCTTTTTATCAAGACTGTTAGGAGATAATTAAGGATGACATCCAAAGTGTGTTCTCAGAATTCTTTGAAAGAGGGGTGATTTATCCATGTATGAATTCTGCATTTATTGCCTTAATCCCAAAAAAGGAGGGAGTTTGTCACCCTAAAGAGTTCAGACCCATCAGTTTGGTTAATAGCCTCTATAAGATCATTGCTAAGGTTTTATTCAAAGAATTAGAGAGGTGCTTCCCACAATCATTCCCCTAATCAAGGTGCCTTTGTGAAGAATAGACAAATTGTGGTTTAAATCTTAATAGCAAATGAGAGTGTGGAAGGTCTAAAAAGAAGAGGGAAGGGATGGTGTGCAAATTGGATCTAGAAAAGGCTTATGATTTGGTTGATTGGTCTCTCTTGTTGGAAGTCCTAGAGTCCTTTGGTTTTGGGCAGAGGTGGTGTAATTGGATAAAAGGGTGTATCAGGACTTGCCACTACTCCATATTGGTGAAAGGCCGGGTGGTAGACCACTTCCCATCTTCTAGAGGTATCAGGTAAGGGGATCCCTTTCCCCCTTCCTTTTTACCCTGATTGCTAAAGTTTTAGGGAGGCTTATTGAGAAGGCAGATTCTAGAAGCTTGGTTAGTGGTTGGAGAATTGGGAGGGACAGGGTTCCGGTCACTCACTTACAATTTGCAGATGACACAATTTTGTTTTGTGGTGGAGAGGAGATTAGGTGGATTAGGAATTTAAAAAAGGTGATTAATGTGTTTGAACAAGTGACTAACCTCAAAGTCAACTTTGATAAGAATTGTATGGTCGACATTAACATGAGTGTTGGAGAGGTGGAAGTTAGGGCTCAAATTTTGGGTTATGAGATTGCTCAGTGGCCATTGAAATATCCAGGGCTTCCACGAGGGGATAATCCTAGCAAAAGGAGTTTTTGGAATCCGGTGATTGATATATTCACAAAAAGGTTAGCCTCTTGGAAGAAAAGCTACCTCTCTTTGGGTGGTAGGATAACTTTGATTAAGTCAACCTTGGCTAACCTTCCTGTTTACTTTCTGTGTGTGTTTAAAATTCCTAAGGGAGTGTGTAGGGTTTTGGAAAACTAATGAGGGATTTCTTGTGGGAACCAAGGGAGGAGAAAAGGGACCATAAAGTTAGGTGGGATTTGGTTACAAGAGCTAAAAGTGATGGTGGACTTGGTTTGGGAAACTTATAGAAAAAGAATGAAGCTCTTCTAGGGAAATGGTTATGAAGACTGACAAAGGAGGATAAGCTGTGGGCTCAAGTAAACGTAAGTGCTCATGGGCAAGAGGCAGATGGCTGGTATACGGGAGTCTCATCTAGGGATACAAGAGCTTCTCCTTGGAAGTCCATCCATGCGATCCATCCTTACTTCCTCTCATCAGGTATGACCTTTGCTCTGGTAATACTGTGAAATTTTGGGAACATATTTAGGTAGGAGACACTCCTTTGAAAGAGCAGTTCCCTTCCTTGTTTTCCCTCTCAAGTTTTAAAAATGATCTAGTAGCCACCTTCCTAACCTCCTCTAACTCTGCTCTCGTTTGGAAGCTGGGATTTAGAAGGGACCTTATAGATTCTGAATCGGACTCCATTGTAAATTTGCTTAAGATCCTAGATGAGGTAGTTATTGACCCCTCTAGATTGGATAGTAGGATTTGGGTTCCCTCTCCCTCGAGTATCTTCTCTTGTTCTTCTTTTTTCAAAGAATTAACCCAATCCCCTCTGGCCCTTGGTTATCCTTTCCCAGTCTTCGAAGTTTAGGGTAGACCAATTCCTCCCAAAGTAGGTGCTTTCTGTTGGAAAGCTATCTTAGAAAAGTGTAACACTTGTGACTTTCTTCAAAAGAAAAGGTCTAATTGGAGTTTATCCCCGCACCATTGCATCCTATGTAAGGAGAATGGCGAGAGCTGCTATCACTTATCAGTTTCCTGTCCTTTCGTATAAGAAATCTGGTGTTGGTTTTTCTCTTCTTTTGGATGCAGGTGGCCCTCCCCTCCAAATGTGCAAAGCTTGTTTAACTCTACTTCAGTGAGGGGTTTAAAAAGAGAGGTAAAATTTTGTGGAGATATGTAAGAACATCTGTATGCTGGACGGTGTGGGAGGAAAGAAATCAAAGAACTTTCCAGGAAAAAGAAAGAAACAAGAAATCCATCATTGAATTAATCTCTGTGAGGGTGGTACATTGGGTCAAGACTATGAAGCTCTTTGAAGGTTACTCAGCAGGAGATATCATTAGAAATTGGAAAGTGACTTGGTCTGCTCCCTTGAATACTTCCCCTATTCCAGCTTGGACTCCTCCAACTATGGGGTTCATTAAATTGAACTTTGATGGCAGCAGTGAAGGAAACCCAGGCCCTTCAGGTATAGGTGGAGTGTTCAGGGATGAAGAAGGTCGAATTATTGGCATGTTTTCAGGACCTATAAGTTGGGGGGATTCTCTGAGAGCTGAAACTTTGGCAGTTTTGGAAGGCATTAAAAGAGCCCAGCAGCTGAATATTAAAAAACTGCTGGTGGAAGGCGACTCTAGGCTGGTTGGCTGTTGGCTGCAGAAGGAAGACTTCAGTCTATGGAAGTTCTTAAATGAGAAAAAGAAAATTAACCAGCTAACTCAGAACATGGAAATTCAGGTTCAGTGGTCCAAGAGGAGTGCTAATTCTATGGAAGATTCTTTGGCTAAACAAGGGGTGGGAAGAGCTAATCTCTTTTGGGCATTGTTGTAGTCTGTTTTATACTTTTAGGGAGGGTTAAGTGATTTTACCCCTCCCTGTTGTAACTTTCTCTTTTCTATTCCTCTTAATAAAAGTTTCTATTATTGATAAAAAAGGAACCTTTCCTAACCAAATAACTTCCCTAAAATGTGTCTTGCCACCAAAGCAAATATCAAAACGAGTGAGTTGTAGAAACTGAGTATAACATGAATTGCTTTCCATGGGGAGGTGAGAGTGACATGAATTGCCAGACCTGCATCCTAGCTGTTAGCTGTAAATCATGAATACTTGTAATCACCTTATGCCATAATTTGTATGTGTCGACTGGAAATTTCCATAGGGCTCAGTTTGAAAGGAGTACAAATACAAATATGTAGAGTGCAAAACCTTGTATTTTGTAAGTATTTGCACTATACATATTTGTATTTGTACTCTTTCCAAACTCAACCTAGATGTTTTCCCAACAAGGCCTTATTCTTCAACCCCAACTTACCTAGTCCTAAACCTCCATATTCTTTCTCCTAGAAATTATTTCCCATTATATTATTGACTCATCACACTTTACAATCCTAGTAAATGGGAATTAATAGAATGCTATCAGCTAAGAGCTAACTTAGACAGGGGGGTCCACTATCTCTCTTTCTTTTCTCTCATTGCTTCAAGGCTTGAAGATATGTTGTATGGTTTTGTATATGAAAAGCTCCTTGTCTTTTAGGCATATTTTATGGGACATTGCTAACTTCCAATGTGAATATCAATCTTTCTCAGATACCCAAAGTTTCCTGTTTTCAGTTGCAAATGGATGTTTTTTTCAGACAACAAAATAAACAACTCTGGCCACACCCTAGTTTTGTGCCACCTGTTCTCAACACATGGAATTTTTTAAAAAGCAATGCACATAAGTGCATGTTTCTCATTGTCGAGGATAGGGCGGTGATGTGCCTAATGTTTAGTTACTAGCAGATCTGTACTCGTCTGAAAAGGTTTTATGCCACTGGCTTCCTTGCAGGCAAGTATAGGAGCAAGGGCCTTGGGAGAGATCATTTCTTTAGGGCTACAAGATTAAACAGAGATTCCTAAATGCCCTGGATACATTTTTGTTGGTAGTTCCATTCTAGATGGTTCTCGTTTATGTTCTGTTATTCATATTTCAGAATGTTGTATCCTTTTCTAAGATGGTGGTTGGTTTCTTCTAAACTTTCCAAGTTATTGTAATGTATTCTTGTTAGTAGATGTTGAGTCCTAATTATATTCTTTTCTTGAAATGAATAACATGGATTATACTTGTATTTGATTTCATCGTTTACTTGTTCTGCCCTTGATATATTTTTCTTTCTTCCCCAGGTATTGGTTATCTGTAGGTGCCCAACCTTCAGAACCTGTTCAACGTATTCTCTTTAGGGCAGGGCTTCTACCACCACCACCAATGCTTGCAATGGGCCACAAAGGTGGACCCCGTGATACCCGTCCAGTTGATCCTTTAAGTGGACGCTTTGTGACCCCTGCAAAGCCTGCTGATGGTGATCAGGTCAAAGAAGTAGACAGTGAAGGGAGCGATGTAGAAGATGACAAGTCTTGACTCATGATGGACCCGGCTATTCTTGGATCTATGTTTCCTGGGGGGGTGGGTGGGAGGGTTGTTTCAGCTTCTTTATTTCCTAATCTCACACTAAGGATGGGCTTAATTTTGCAACCTTGTGAGAACTACTATAAGCCAAAGCACATCTTAGTTCTATAAAAGATGATATTTTGAAGGATTTTTTTTTTCTGCCTGCTAGTAAGAGTTTGGCGGCTTGGTAGAGAATTTGATACTTCCAATCCAGGGGGATTATGGTAGTTCAGCTTTTTAGATCTTGATTCTAAAATCGTCCTTATCTATGCAGAAGAGACTTCAGGTTTCCTATTCCTTACACGATCCATTCTTTTCCTTTTGATAAGAAGGAATATCTTTCATTATCTATGTTGCCACACTGTGAAGTTATTATACATAATGCATCATCGTAGGGCAGTTAATGACCTGCCAACATCCAACGATCTTACCTCCCATTGCTTTTGTATCAGACGGTTTACATGTATTTGTATTGTTATTTTGCTATATTCGACCTTATTAAACTGCAGATGCTATGGATTCAATGCTTTGGAATCATGGGGTAGGACATATGGTTGCGGGTTTAAGATTCAGTATGGAGATTGGGTCGGTCGAGACTTGTGCAATAGGAATTGGGGTATACGTGCAACCCCTGATCATTATAAAATAAAGGGTTTTTTATAGTTCAGTCCACCCTTAGGGGAGCTAGGATTTCTAGGCGTGGATTGAATCCTGCCCGTGGATTGATGCTAAATTCACGGGCATGATGTGGTTTATAGGGGGGGGGGAGCTACTAGTAGACTAGGAGGGTGCTGTAATTCAGATTTCTGAGGTGGATTACAGTTCACTTATCCCTAAAATCAAAAGAAAAAAAAATCTATTGGCCTTATCGAAACATACTTATACCTATTAGACCTTGGTTATTGCATGCAATGGATTCAGTCACCATTTCCCACTTTTAATTTGGCTTTGTTATCAGAATTAGCATAGCTGTTTTACACAACTAAACTTGAAAAGGCATATAATTACGGGGCTTTTCTGATTGGAATATTTGAAGTCTACTTTGCAGTTTGCACCCAATGTTTAAAGGATTAATAAGTATCAGTCCATGTAAGCCATGCTTGCCGTTATATATGTAGGCTTATGGAATGACCAAAATTTCATTCCATTCCACATATATCTATGGTATCAGTTTATAGTATTGGTATGCATCAGCTGATTCAGACCTGATTTGTAAGGTTCAAACGTAGAGTGTTGAAAAAGCAAATTTAAGAGACGTATTAGGATATGCTTTAGATATGGTTGGAAAAAATAGGATACACATGTATACCCTAGGGAAACTCCAATAAATCTCAAAAGAATACATCAATAACACTTGGTCCAAAGTCTTTAGATGATTACAAATGGAGTATATACAAGATTCAAAATAAACACAATGTGTGCAATACAGCTTGTATTTTATCAGTATCCAAAGGCATGGGCACATGGAATAGTGGAACATCACATACTGTTTATGGACCTATTGTAGTGGTCATACCACTTCTAAAAGTTCATAACTCAATTAACTTCTTTTTATCATTCATCCAAACTTCTTGACATTTTTCATAGGCTGTCATGGTAGTTGGTCGGCCAACATATAACCAAATACACCTTGCAGTCCAACATTGTTAATTTGTTAGATCTATGGATTTTCTCCAAAAATTGAAAAAATCTAAAAATTATAAAAAATATTTTTTTTTATATGTTTTAAATGATTTTCATAGCAGGAAAGAACCATAAGATGGATCTATAAATGACATTAAACTCATTGATCTAATGATATTTTATGCCAAAATTTGTCTTGTTTTTTAGAAAAACCTAAAAATATATTTTTTATGTATTCTAAATGACTTTGTGATAAGGAAAAACCAACGTTCAAAATATCGATACGCCCGATACACCATCGGGCGAATCGATACACATTTTGGTCCCTTTTTTATTTTTTTTTGCAACCGGTTCAGGGGGGCTGGTTTAGGTATTCTCTACCCCCTGAACCGGTCAGACCTCCGATACACCCACTGTAGGGGCGTATCGGAGGGGTCCCGGAACGATACGTATCGGCCAATACGTGTCAATACTTTGAACCTTGGGAAAAACTATAAGATAGATCTATTAATGATCCATGAAACTCATTGATCTGACAACAATTTAATATGTTTTGTAATGATTTTTTAGAAGATTGGAAGCTCAAACATTGTTTGATATATGTAAAGCTATTATATCTTATATGATATTCACATGTTCTAAATTACCGTATTGTTTCTTGTAATATATTACTTCATATAAACTATTAAGTGTGAATTTCTTATATACGCTTTATTCATAGTTATTTCAACCCAGGGGTGGAGCCAGGGGAGCCATGCCCCCCCCTATGGGTTCAGAAAATCCCCACTGTAATACAGCTTTTCAT